GATCCTCCTCACAAAAGTAAAAAACATTTTTTTATCTGGAATGCATTTAACCTAAAAAGGATGCGCATAAAACATGACACATGACTTTATTTCATTCCAAATATCAGATTACATACCACCTATGAATGACACTAATTATTATTTTTTCAGATTTACCCAAACACACCACAGTGTCAGTCAGTCCCTCTGGTCCAGTACCAGAAGACAGCACTGTGACTCTGACATGCAGTAGTACTGCCAACCCAGCAGTAAGGAACTACACCTGGTACAGAGCTGATGGAGGCCAGGAGACTTTTATTGGGACCGGACGTGTTTTAAACATTAAAGCTTCTGAAGTCAGTGGTCCTTTTTTCTGCAAGGCTGAAAATGATCTTGAGCTGGACGATCCAACATCAGTCAAATAGACGTTCAGTGTAAGTATCAAATTTCAAACTTAAAATGCTCTATATACTCTGATAGGTCGAGCTGTATGCAGTACACTGATTTGCATATAATAATATGTTTTCATTAATTGGCTAATTTAGATATTTAAGGTATGTTTAGGATTGTAAAATGTCCAACTTTAGCACCACTGTGTTGTTATCAAAAAAATTTATTTTTGCATTCCACCTTACTAGTTAATACTTTTCAGTCTCCAATATCACACACATGTTAATACAAGCTAGTCAATCATTTAATGGTGTCTCCCCTCTTAACTTGTTAAGTACTAGTGATAGGAAATACTAGTGACCTTGTTGTATTATTCAGGTATTTGCACTCCAGGGTCATCATTTACAAAAACGGTGTCGGCACTATAACTTTAGAAGAAAATAGTGACATAATCTCACTTTATTATTTCATGACTTCATGAATATAATATCAAATTACACCCATTAAAAAAAAAAATCATTTATGTTTCAGATTCACCCAAACATACCACAGTGTCAGTCAGTCCCTCTGGTCCAGTAACAGAAGACAGCACTGTGACTCTGACATGCAGTAGTACTGCCAACCCAGCACTAAGGAACTACACCTGGTACAGAGCTGATGGAGGCCAGGAGACTTTTATTGGGACCGGACGTGTTTTAAACATTAAAGCTTCTGAAGTCAGTGGTCCTTTTTCTGCAAGGCTGAAAATGATCTTGGAGCTGGACAATCCAACATCAGTCAAATAGACGTTCAGTGTGAGTACAACTGTTTTTCGTTACCTAAACCCAGGCAACATTTTATGAATCAATTTCTTACTGCAGAGTAAATGTGACATTGTGTCTATAAATTTATTTATAATCATGGGCCATGGTGTCTTACCTTGAGTGTTTGCACCATATTAAGGCCTTACCACAGCTCTTTGCATTATGATAGTCTTCAATTACAACTTCCAACCGTTCTTTGATATCAGTATCTTGATATTAATTGTATTTATTTTTAAAATGACTGTTACAAGCGTGCCTCAGGCGTGTGACCACATAGGAAGTCAAAACACACATAAAGGTCGAAAGCCAAATTAATTTATAAGAAAATTCTATGACAGTCAGCAATTTTATGAGCTTCAAACATCTGCAGAAAGTCACGGTTTGTCATAGTTAATACAAGTACTATTAATTAGTTGGAAACTATTAGGATTTCTTGACATTTTATTTTATTAATTTATTTATTTAGCTTACAACTGCCCATATGCATATTGTAAGGATATGATATGTAGAGAATTATTGTTGTTTCTTGTGACAGGTCTTGAGCAACATTGTGGACCGTACAGTGGGAATTCTTCTCTTGGCTGTTGCCGGTGTCTCTCTCAGTGTCAACGTCTTGTACACAATCTACGTGGTGTTCCTTTGGTATGTATGTTATTACAGTGGATTATATATTTTTATAAAAGCTCTGCTGATGAATAGCACTGCTGTTTTTAGAAAATATTGAATATATATTTCTATTTTTCTTTCTCCTCAAAGGAAAGGAAGAAAGAGTGTGAAGCCAAAAGAAGAGGACATGACTTACATGTCTTTGGATCGTAGAGACACATCTCCAGAGTATGATGTCATTGCCCAAACTCCAAAATGACTCCCTCTACTTCCACTGATGATGAGCTTGATGATTATCACATAACATTGCTTAATGATTTATTGTATATCTTATACTGAGGCAAAAGCTCATCCTTCATCACCTTGCTCTCTCCTGCAGTGCCTTAAACTTCCACTTAGTGATATCAGTGTTTATGTATCAATTATCTAACATTGAACAACTATACAATGTAATGTAAATAAATACTTTCTATATGAATCTTCGAATGCTCGCTTTTGTAGAAATGTTTTAAACTTCAACAGAAAGGTTATTTTTTAGGTACTGAGGTTTTTATGTTTGTTGGTATACATATGTATGGTATACATACTGTTGTGTCTCGTCAAGTGTGTTAATTTTAGTCATGTTCATGTTTAGTGTTTCATATTTAGTCCTTCCTGTTTTTTTTTTTGTACTCACCTTTTCCCTCACATTTCAGACCCTGACTCCCTCCCTTTGTGTGATTTTCCCTTCTTTGTAATTTTCTGCCCTGCCCCTGATTGTTTTCACCTGTTTTCACTTACACCTGGTATAAATAGTCCTTGTCTCCCTTTGTCTTTTTCAGAGTTTTTTCATGTTTTGATTAAGGTTTGTGTGAGCTTTTCTTTTGCAATTTTATCCTCCTTTGTGATCGCCCTTTGTTTTTCAACAATAAATAAACAATAAATACCCCTTTTGTACATCTTCGTCAGTCCCTGAGTCATGCATTTGAGTCCACCAGAATTGTGTCTTAGGTCGTGACACATACATGTCTTTTCTCATGAATAAGAGGACAGGATTTACAGGACACTGGATCGAAGAGATGAGTCTCAGAAACAGACGGTGTCAACATCCACTGAGTGCTTTGTTGATTGTTTGACAATGACACTGAAATATTTCTGAACAAAATATTAGACCATTGTTCATTTCCTGTTTGTTCCCTGTTCCAAACAGTAATTGTCTTTTAAAGCATGACCACAATTGTTACATAACTTCAACCATACATTTGTTTATTGTAATTTGTAATTTTAAACTGTTTTAGAAGGCTCAGACAAATGTTGTCTACCTGTCGATAGTGGACTTGTTTGAATATCCAACTAGAATTATCAGTGTGTCTGAACCCCTATTTGCTACAATAGGTGAGTACAATAACATGAGCACAATGTAATGTAAATAGCACTGTAGAGATAGTAGCTTTGAAGGGGTTATACTGCTTAATTATTGGTGAAACTGGATCACAGAGGTATTCACTTAACTTTGTGCTCATTTGAGTGTGTGGTGGTTTTATTTTGCACTCTGTTATATGTTTGGTTGTAAATTTGTCTTTTACATACAATACATACATATAGAGACCATGTACGTTAACAACACGGCAAACGACTGCATCAGCTATCACTGAACTGAATGAACATTCAATATGACATTCAATAAGAAAAAAGGTTCATACATACTGAACTGAACTCGACTCAATTAGATGATAAAATGTCTGTGTGCATATGACTGTGTCTGCCTCCCTTATCTGACGTGTGACTGTTAAAAAACATTTCTTGAAACAATTACAATTAAATATTTATTCATAAACTTATTTATAATAATTTGTAAGCTATATATGTTTCCCATAGTAAGTAAGAAAAAGTACACTTCATTGTTACATGAATCTGCACTTTTGTGACTTCCTCATTTTAAAGTTAATTCTTGCATTCTGTTGGAAACAGCAGCACAACTTTGAAGGAACTTCACTTCTCTATACATCTTTGATCTGTCTACCTGGAAGACCTGAAGACAATGTAAGTCATCATAACTTCTACATGACACATATTACATAAGCAACATTTTTTTAAATGTACTATAAAATTCAAAAAATATAAACATGAGGTTACTTTGCTCTCAACAATTACAGTGCAAAATTTCAAAGGTAGAAAAAAGAAAAGACACTAAATATGTGAAAGGTGGCAAAATCGTCCGATTGTGGTTTAAGAATGTTGAAACTAATTCTCTCAAATAAATTGTAACTTTGTAAATAAACTGAAAAAAAAGACATAGTATGTTTGTCATTTTTTTCCTTTCACAAAACAGCATAGCTTCCTGTTTTTCATTTTTATTATCTATTAATTTTCTACGTCTTTTTTAACCAAAGCAGCATGTTGTAGCACTGAACTGAATGTTACAAAGGGTGGGTATTGATTAGACCTTGATTGAAGTATTGATTAATTTAACTGTTCAATTATAGTTTTTAAAGGAATGCAGTTATACGTCCCCTTATTCCTCTACGAATGATAAATAGCTGTGCTGTGTCACCGTGACCTCATGAAATGAAGAAACAGATCCGGATTGCAAAACGTTTCTTTGTCTGCAACCTCCACAAATATTAAATTAAATACTGGCTTCCAGGTGAACCCTACTGTAAAAATTAATGAGGGATGAAATGTACTAAAGATGTGAATTGTTCCATGTGTAATCTCCAGAGTTTCTGCCTCTCCTGACACACAAAGATGGCTGCAGCTCTGACTCTCCTTCTCATTGGCTGTCTGCTGCAGAGTGAGTTAAAGTTCATTCATATTTGGATCAATAACTATAAAACTATTAAAACCTATATCTACACACTGTTAGTTAGGCATTCACACCACAGAACAGCAGTATCTTTGATACATGGTGCACTAAATACATTTGATGGGTGAACAATTTTATTTATCTTGAAAAAATCTTTACAGTCTTCATTTTGGATTATTTTATGAATAAAGGTATAGCGCTAAGATTCTAGCACGGCGACCAAACAGTCAAATTTACTTCTTATTGTAAAGTAGTATTCACTTTTTCTTATTCACAGGTTTGTGTCTTGTGTTTCAGGTGTCCACTGTGGAGAGTTTAAGGTCACTATGCCGCAGACTATAGAGGTTCTGAGGGGATCCTGTGTGACCATCCCCTGCTCCTTTGATATAAAGGACGGAGTTGGATCAGACTTAGATAGAACATGTAAAGCAATGTGGAAAATGAACAAGGGACTGTTGTGTTTGACAGCAGTAATCCACAATCGTCTACAATAAAAGGAAATTTGACAGGAGACTTAACAAAAAGAGACTGCACCACAACCCTGAACAACATGCAACCTGAACACAGCAACAAATATTACCTCAGAGTGGAATGTAACAATCGCCTGAAACAAAATTTTAATCAACAAAAGTTGGACATTTCAGTAAAAAGTAAGGTTTTAAAGTCCATTTAGTTACACTTCAGTTGGTTATTTTTGCAGAACTGCTTTGAACTTGTTCTCCATTAATTGCACTTTTCAAATAGTATATAAAATGGAGTAGAATTACATTTTTACTGACTGGTCAAAATGTACCTTCCCACCAGATGATCCTCCCAGACCGACTCTGACTCCGTCCACACTGGAGATGGAGGAGGGAACCTCAGTGAGTTTGAAGTGCTCTGCTCCAGCTCCCTGTCTGTCTCATCCTCCAACTCTGACATGGACCCCCAGCCTGGGTCACAGTCAGGAGACACTGGAGGAGAATCAGGACAAAACTAAAGTCAAGACCTCTGTTGTGAACTTCACTGCTTCTCACCTCCATCACAGACAGGAAATCTCCTGTACTGCCGTCTACAACAAACAAGATGGCAGCACTGAGTCATCTGTTAGCACAAGTTTAACAGCTGATATTTCATGTGAGTTAATTTGTTATCTGTGACATTAAGACAGATACAAATGTGTTATTTTATTGTAGTAGTTATTGTCAACAGCAACCTCCAGGTAAATACCATTTAATTATTGCTATAATTTAAACTTCACCCAATTTGACTTAACTCTTATGTTTTCTGTACATAACAGTTGCTCAAGTAGCATAATCTGCCTTTTTCATTTCATGACAAACATCAGGGCAAATTAAACCAATGAATAATACAAATAATGTTTCCATAATTGTAATCATTTATTTTTCAGATTCACCCAAACACACCACAGTGTCAGTCAGTCCCTCTGGTCCAGTACCAGAAGACAGCACTGTGACTCTGACATGCAGTAGTACTGCCAACCCAGCAGTAAGGACCTACACCTGGTACAGAGCTGATGGAGGCCAGGAGACTTTTATTGGGACCGGACGTGTTTTAAACATTAAAGCTTCTGAAGTCAGTGGTCCTTTTTTCTGCAAGGCTGAAAATGATCTTGGAGCTGGACGATCCAACATTAGTCAAATAGAGTTTCAGTGTGAGTATCACATGATTACAACTGTTTATTTTACTGACTGAAACCCCACCTTTGCACAGAGGGCTTTTCGCTTGTTTATTCAAAGTTTATTAACATTGAATGTGTCCCATATCCAAATTGTGCCAAGTTTGACACTACACTTCCTTGGGTCCCCAGAGATACAGTCATTTTTGCTAACTTGATTAAACATGACTTTACTTGACTCTTAACTTGTCGGTCTTCTCTATATTCATTACAGTTGCTCCACAGATCCTGTTCTCCTCTGATTGCACCAAAACTGCAGACCAGCTCAACTGTTCCTGTGAGACTGTGGGAAACCCTTCTCCCATTTTAGAGTGGTATTTGGATGGGTTACCCATCAATCACTCTGACAAGTTTGCAATCAGCAATGAGCTTCTGAATGACACAGCCCTGAGGAGCTTCATCGCTGTGAATCAACCACAGGAGAGGGATCTTTCCTCTTTGCTCTGCCGCAGCTCCAACTCTCTGGGATCTGCCAGTCAACGTTTTTGTGTCTACAGCCTTGAGCCTCGAACATCTACAGAAAATCATGGTTTGTCTTTGTGCTAAATACAAGTCCTCTTGATTAGTTGGAAACTATGAGAATCTGCACAGTATATATATTTCCATTCAGTGTTTTTGTTTTTACATTTTTTATTCTGTTGTCGGCTCCCAACTGTTTCACATACTGTACATACTGTATATGTAAGTGACATGTTAGTTAGTCACACTCTTGATTTCTGCTTCTAGAATTCATATCGATAATGTCTGTAGTGCAAATATTATATATTAATCACTCAACCTATTTCTTAGATTTTTTTATTTTTACCTCTCTTCTATGAAAGTTTTATATACTACCAATACACGATGTAACACCTTAAAACAGATTATAATTGAGTTATGTGTTTAATACACCCACAGGAAAAACCCAGGAAGCTCCATGTATGTCTTCTTCACCAAATAATCCGAATATATATGTCTAATTCTGACAAACCTCCTTAATTTTCTGTTCTGTCTCATACATAATTCTCAGGTCAAGTTACGTTGCCCGTCTTCATCGTCACAGTCAGTGCACTTACAGCAGCACTAATATGTGCTCTACTGTTTGCTGTCAGGTAGGTAACAACTAGAGAAGCCATGAAACCCTGCACAGTAAAGCTTTTGTTGTTAACTTAACTCTAGTATAAATACTGACTCTATGTAGTGTTTGTCAGAACCAGTTTAAGTTTTCAAGCTTTAACAGACAATTTCTTGTGAATACACAAAATAATGAATAGTTTATGAATTTTAAAGTATGTAAAATCCCAATGACCAGCAAGTCCACAACCCATATATAGCATACTGTATATAACAGTGACTGTTGCTGGTGCAATCTGTGATTCATAAGGTTATTTTATTGTTAATTCTGACATTTTTTAGCACTGATTATTATGCCTCTACAGAATAGTAATGTAAGTAAGTAATGATTGGCAGCTGTATTCTATCAGTGATAACTACAGTATATTATTTAAGTCATGCCAGTTAGAGTTTGTCTAACCTAATTTTGACTTTCTCTCTGAATAAACTTCTGCATTTTGTCAACTAATACATGATTTGGCTGAAAACCAAAATGGAAGTGAACATGTCAATGTAAATTGGATGGGGTGTCCTACTTTTTTATTTTCAGGGCTCAGAGGACTGAGCGCCATAACCCTACAAAGAGCCAGTGTACAGGTGACACCAGCACAGCTGTGATGAGTCAAGATGTTACAAGTGAAAATAGAAATAAGGTACTGACTGTTTTATAATGTGGGTATTAAAAAGGGATAATCTAGTGGAATATCTGTACCACTGATTTTTTTTTCCCTTTCAGGTGTCTATCACATTAGAAGAAGATATTTACATCAACACCAACATGATCAGGGGGAAAGATAAACCAAATTCTCATCGAGGACATCGACAGATATCCAGTAGAAGCTCAGAGAAGCAGAATGAGGAAAGCAGTGATGTGCTTTACTCCAGTGTGATTTGGAAGAGCAAGAGCAAGAAGAAGGGAGAACGTGCTGTGGAAAGGAACCTGTCTGGTAGCTCCTATCTGGAGGAGGAGAGGTCCATGGAGGGAGGCATGAGCAGAAATTACGTGAGCAATGCACGGGAGATGGAGAGTCTATATGGCAACACTGTGACTGGAAAAGATGCAAAGAAGGCAGAGTATAGTGAATATGCCGAGGTTCAATTTAGAGACAAAAATATTGTGCATAAATAGAACTTGTTCTGTGTAACTTTTGTTTAAACTGTTTCATTTGATAATTTGACTGTCTTTTACATGTACATACATTAAAAAATGAAGTGTCATTGGGCTGTAAATCGAATTGAATTATACAATGAAGCATCGTTGTTAATGTTAATGTGATTCCACTCCATGACAATGACAATTAATGACAGTCCTATACTATCTTTAAGTTTGTATGAATGTCTCAGTAACATGTCTTATAACACCAGGAGACAGAATTTCTGAATTGTGAAATGATTTGATGAACTGTGCTATTTCTATAGCTGCAGAAGTCGACTGTGCATGTTTGATCATCTTCTCCATACATATTATTTCTTAGCCAGTCTGGAGAGTTTTCAGCAAAATGACCTGGTAAGATTTAAGATTATATTGTATTTTAAATACAGCTTAGTTAGAATAATGTCTAATTGTGATTTATAAATTGTAATAAATGTATCATAAATATCAAAGTTGGTTTAAACAATGCATTTCATTTAAAGTATCCAGATATGCTACTAATTGTGTTAGTCAATTAAAGGTCCAATGTATAACATTCAGGAGGGTCTATGGGCAGAAACGGAATATAATTCATAAGTTTTCATTTGTGTACAGTCTCCTAAAAATGTGTTACTGAGACTGCACCACAAATTTGTAAAGTTGTTTTTTGTTAATGAGACGCTTTTATCTACAAAGGGAGCAGCTCCTCTTGTTGGGAGTCAATGGTGAGCCGCCATGTTTTTACAGTAGCCCAGAACGGTCAAAAACTGGAGTTGCTTGCACTAAATCGTACACACTGGTCATTGAACTTTTTTATGATTTAGATAGATATTAGATATTAGGTCTTCATGAGAATTTCTGTGATGATTATAAGACAACTTCACAAAAGGAATTCATGCATTTCTTATACTGAGACAACAGTGTATTTAGTAATCATGGCAAAAAAACACCTCTCAGAAGACACTGACATTTCATAGAAATAACCAATCTCCTGCTCAGTGTTACAGCACATGAACATACTGCCATCTAGTGTAAGTTAATGGTTATTTCTTCCTTTGCCAGGATAGCTGGAAATGACCTCACATAGGTGGGGAAAAGCAATAAGAGAAATTCAACCAGGACTCCAAAATACTACAAACTTTGTGGATGAACTTGGATTACTTCAGGCCAACCTGGACAAGACAGAGAAGATCTGGGGTTAGCGGGAGCAGATAGACTGAGTGAATAATGCAGTCGGTGCTGAAGGGGCTACAGGTGGCAGGAGAGGTGGAGGAAGGACACCAGATACAAAGTTAGTGGAGTTACTGCAGTCATCAACAGATCTGATTAGAGGAAAATTACCAAAAGTTATGCAGTATTTTTTTTGTGTGTGTGTCATATGTTGTCAATTGCCACTTGCGGCTACATTTTATTGTTATTATTGATTATCTTGTTGACAATTTCATGCCTGGGAAAGTTTCAGGTTAACGTAACATGCATGACTTTGGACTGTAAGAGGAAACGGGAACAACTGGAGTAAACTCACCAAGACACGGGGAGAACATACAAACTGAAAACTGAGATTAATATTAAATTGATCTCTTGACTTATTTGATTTACTTACTTTAGTTTTCAAGTACAATCTGTGATTGAAAGAGCAATATAGTCATTGTTAATTATTGTCCTATTCAGACTGCTGGATGTTGTTTGTTGTCAACTTCCAGTAATATGTTGTACAGTGGTATGTTTCACTTTCACTACATCCTGCATCAAGTTCTCTCTTGTGGGATAGATGGGTGTAGAAGTCAGGTATTACACCTTACAACAACAAACCCCACAACATTAAAAATCAGATACAATGAATTAGACACAGTTTCCCAGAATTAGAGAAAACACTTTGAAAACAGTGAAGACCAGAACTGATGAGGAGTAATAAAATGTTTCTGTGGCAAGCTTGGTAAAAGGTGATGCCAGCATTCTTACTTTAGAAGACAAATGTTACATTTAACAATGCGTTTTATTATTAATTTTTCAGACTCACACAAACACACCACAGTGCCAGTCAGTTACTCTGGTCCAGTACCAGGGGGCAGTAATGTGACACTGACATAGTTGTGCCAACCCAGCAGTAATGAGCCTTTAATGGGAGCCAGACAAGTTTTAAACATTCCAATGCACTAAAGCTTTTTAAAACAACAGTCTTTTTTTCTGCAAGGCTGAAAATGATATTGGAGCACAACAATCCAACAACAGTCAAATACATAATCAATATAAGTCTCATATTTCAATTTGAGTAAAATCTATTTAAATATTCATTAATTTGTATATGAAATTATTGTATTTATTGTGTTGCTTTGGTTGTTTATAAGTCATTGTGTAATTTGATATACTTTGATTGTACAATTAAATATCAATTCATAAACCTATTCATAATAAGTTGTAAGCTATATACAGTGGGTACGGAAAGTATTCAGACCCCTTTAAAATGTTCACTCTTTGTTTCATTGCAGCCATTTGCTAAAATCAAAAAAGTTCATTTTATTTCTCATTATTGTACACTCAGCACCCCATCTTGACAGAAAAAAACAGAAATGTAGAAATTTTTGCAAATTTATTAAAAAGAAAAACTGAAATATCACATGGTCATAAGTATTCAGACCCTTTGCTGTGACACTCATATTTAACTCACATGCTGTCCATTTCTTCTGATCCTCCTTGAGATGGTCCTGCTCCTTCATTGGAGTCTAGCTGTGTTTAATTAAACTGATTGAACTTGATTAGGAAAGGCACACACCTGTCTATATAAGACCTTACAGCTCACAGTGCATGTCAGAGCAAATGAGAATCATGAGGTCAAAGGAACTGCCCAAGGAGCTCAGAGACAGAATTGTGGCAAGGCACAGATCTGGCCAAGGTTACAAAAGAATTTCTGCAGCACTCAAGGTTCCTAAGAGCACAGTGGCCTCCATAATCCTTAAATGGAAGAAGTTTGGGACGACCAGAACTCTTCCTAGACCTGGCCGTCCAGCCAAACTGAGCCATCGTGGGAGAAGAGCCTTGGTAAGAGAGGTAAAGAAGAACCCAAAGATCACTGTGGCTGAGCTCCAGAGATGCAGTAGGGAGATGGGAGAAAGTTCCACAAAGTCAACTATCACTGCAGCCCTCCACCAGTCGGGGCTTTATGGCAGAGTGTTCCGACGGAAGCCGTTCCTCAGTGCAAGACATATGAAAGCCCGCATAGAGTTTGCCAAAAAAGACATGAAGGACTCCCAGACTATGAGAAATAAGATTCTCTGGTCTGATGAGACCAACATTGAACTTTTTGGCGTTAATTCTAAGCGGTATGTGTGGAGAAAACCAGGCACTGCTCATCACCTGCCCAATACAATCCCAACAGCGAAACATGGTGGTGGTGGCAGCATCAGGCTATGGGGATGTTTTTCAGCTGCAGGGACAGGACAACTGGTTGCAATTGAAGGAAAGATGAATGTGGCCAAGTACAGAGATATCCTGGAAGAAAACCTCTTCCAGAGTGCTCAGGACCTCAGACTGGGCCAAAGGTTCACCTTCCAACAAGACAATAACCCTAAGCACACAGCTAAAATAACAAAGGAGTGGCTTCGGAACAACTGTGACCATTCTTGACTGGCCCAGCCAGAGCCCTGACCTAAACCCAATTGAGCATCTCTGGAGAGATCTGAAAATGGCTGTCCACCAACGTTCACCATCCAACCTGACAGAACTGGAGAGGATCTGCAAGGAAGAATGGCAGAGGATCCCCAAATCCAGGTGTGAAAAACTTGTTGCATCATTCCCAAGAAGACTCATGGCTGTAGTAGCTCAAAAGGGTGCTTCTACTCAATACTGAGCAAAGGGTCTGAATACTTATGACCATGTGATATTTCAGTTTTTCTTTTTAATAAATTTGCAAAAATTTCTACATTTCTGTTTTTTTCTGTCAAGATGGGGTGCTGAGTGTACATTAATGAGAAATAAAATGAACTTTTTTGATTTTAGCAAATGGCTGCAATGAAACAGAGTGAAAAATTTAAAGCGGTCTGAATACTTTCCGTACCCACGGTAAGTTTCCCATAGTAAGTAAGAAAAAGTACATTTTGTTGTCACAGGCGTATGCACTTTTGGGACTTCCTGATTTTACGGTAACTTCTTGTTGGCGGTTTGAAATAGCAGCACAACTGTGAAGGAACTTCACTTCTCAGTACGTCTTTGATCTGTCCGCTCGAAAGACCTGAAGAAAATGTAAGTCATCAGAACTTCTATATGATACATATCAAATCATCATTTATTTTAAATATAAAACAAGCTTCTTAAATTTAAAAATCAAGTTTTTTTCAGTTCGATCAGTGAACAATTTCAAAGGTATAAATAAGAAAAAACACCAAAGCTATGTGAAAGGAAAAAAATCTATTCAGATACTTTAAACTGTCATTAAATTGTGGTTTTGTTCCTGTTGAATAGTTGTAGAAAACAAATTGTAGATTGGTAAATACATGGAAAATTAACAAATAAAAGACATGATTTGTTTGCCATTTAACCATACAAAGGCCTATAGCTTCCTGTTTTTCCTTTTTATCATCATTTCACCGTCTACGCCTTGTTAACCAAAGCAGCATGCTATAGCACTGACACACTGAATGTTACAAAGTGTGGGACAATCAATTATTTTTTATTTTTGCAAATCTCTTCTGTTGAATATCTCCAACACCAAACTTTATTAAAAGCATGGGGAATTTGCAAGAACTGTATTTTAAATGAATAATGGTTTACTTAATTGTTCAAATATGTTTTTTTAAAGAAAGGGATTTAAAAGCGGTCATACACCCCCTTTTTCTCTTACGAATAAATAGGTGAGCTGTATCGTTCTGCATTCATGAGGACTTAAACTCCATAAATAATTACATTTTGTCGGTATTCAATTGAGTGTTAGTGTCAGCACCCTTTACTGGCTTCTTTGGAAGATTAATAAAGTCTGAAAAAGTAAGAGGGTATCAAAACATTTCTCTATATGCAACCTCTGCAAATATTGCATTCGATACTGGCTTCCAAATAAACCCTACTGTAAAAAGTTCATGAGGGATGAAATGTACTAAAGATGTTAATTGTTCCATGTGTAATCTCCAGAGTTTCTGCCTCTCCTGACACACAAAGATGGCTGCAGCTCTGACTCTCCTTCTCATTGGCTGTCTGCTGCAGAGTGAGTTAAAGTTCATTCATATTTGGATCAATGACTATAAAACTATTAAAACCTACAAAAAAAACAATGTTATTCAAACCACAGTAAAACAGTATCTATAATGAATGTTGCATAAGAGATGCAGTGAGTTACAAAAGTGTTCTGCTGGATTCTTCTGAGAAAGTTAATTAGACGAGTGAATTTTTTTTTTATCTAAATATATAGGAAAAAAATACTATGGGAACAAATCAGACTCCTTGTAGTCCTTATTTTATTTTATTTTATTATAATGTATCACTTTATGAACAAGGGTATAGTGCTTTTTTTACTACAGATTTTACCAAGGAAACCAAATTTACTTCTTATTGTAAAGTAGTATTCACTTTTTCTCATTCACTGTTAGTTAAGCATTCACACCACAGAACAGCAGTATCTATAATACATGGTGCACTAAATACATTTGATGGGTGAACAATTTTAAATTATCTAGAAAAAGTTGTTTAATTTTGGATTATTTTATGAATAAAAGTTTAGTGCTAAGATTCTAGCACGGCAACCAAACAGTCAAATTTCCTTCTTATTGTAAAGTAGTATTCACTTGTTCTCATTCACAGGTTTGTGTCTTGTGTTTCAGGTGTCCACTGTGGAGAGTTTAAGGTCACTATGCCGCAGACTATAGAGGTTCTCAGGGGATCCTGTGTGACTATCCCCCTGCTCCTTTGATATAGGGGACAGATTTAGATCAAACTTAGATGGAACCTGTAAAGTAGTGTGGAAAAACGAACAATGGACTGTTGTGTTTAACAGCAGTAATCCACAATCATCTGCAATAAAAGGAAATTTGACAGGAGACTTAACAAAAAGAGACTGCACCACAACCCTGAACAACATGCAACCTGAACACAGCAACAAATATTACCTCAGACTGGAATGTGACAATGGCCTTTTTATTGGACAAAAGTTGGACATTTCAGTAAAAAGTAAGGTTCTAAAGTCCATTTAGTTACACTTCAGTTGTTTATTTTTGTAGAACTGCTTTGACCTTGTTCTCCATTAATCACATTTTTCAAAAAGTATATAAAATGGAGAAGAATTAAATTTTTACTCACTGGTCAAAATGTACCTTCCCACCAGATGATCCTCTCAGACCGACTCTGACTCCGTCCACACTGGAGGTGGAGGAGGGAACCTCAGTGAGTTTGAAGTGCTCTGCTCCAGCTCCCTGTCTGTCTCATCCTCCAACTCTGACATGGACCCCCAGCCTGGGTCACAGTCAGGAGACACTGGAGGAGAAACAGAACAAAACTAAAGTCAAGACCTCTGTTGTGACCTTCACTGCTTCTCACCTCCATCACAGACAGGAAATCTCCTGTACTGCCGTCTACAACAAACAAGATGGCAGCACTGAGTCATCTGTTAGCACAAGTTTAACAGCTGATATTTCACGTAAGTTAATTATTCCTCTGCTGAAATTCTTCATTTGGTGGTGGTTTTGCCTTATTTTGAATCTGTGCTGAAATAATTAATCAATTCATCCATTCAACATTTTTGTTTTCATAATATGAGGATTTGCTGCTTTTGTCTCTTTTATATCATTGTAAACTGAATGTCTCTGTGTTTTGGACTGTTGATCAGGAACCAGGCTACTTGAAGACATTAAGTTATCCTCTGGAATATTGGCATTTTATACAGTATACCAACATTTTATAGACTAAATGACTAATTGATCAATTGTTAAATTACAACAAATTAATCAAAAATAAAAACAATCATTAGTTGCAGCTCCAGTTTAAATGTGAAATCCATCACTTTGGAAAACAGCAACCTCCATGCTCCATTGTAAAGAATTGTCCCCTCTAGACTGTTACACCACCGATGCCTTGATTATAAAAACTATTAAAAACTATAATTACACAATGTTAAAAAAGTATCCAAACCACAACGTTACAATATCTGTAATGCATACTACAGCAAATGAAGGATGCAGTGAGCTACAAATGTATTCTCTTGCCGTTTTCTTAAAACTTTAATTTGATGAGTCGAAAATCTTATATTTTTTTCAAAACATCTGAAAATAAAAAACTCTGTGAGACCAAAACAGATTTTTACAGTCTGGATTATTTTATGAATAAATGTATAAAGTGCTCAAGGTATGATCTATTTTTGTTAACCAACCTGGAAGTTTGAATCGCCCTGGTTCCTGGTAAAGTAGTAAAGACAAAGGAACACCACTTGTATGATTTTTTGAAGAGCATGTTTGATTGCCAGAAGTAAAAAGCTAACATTAGTCTAAAAACAAACAACAACACGTAAAACTCCTCATTACTGTAAAGTAGTATTCACTTCTTCTTTTTAAAAACATTTATGTCTTGTGTTTCAGGTCCGTTTAAGGTCACTATGCCGCCGACTATAGAGGTTCTCAGGGGATCCTGTGTGAACATCCCCTGCTCCTTTGATATAGAGGACACATATACATCAGACTTAGGTGGAACCTGTAAAGCAATGTGGAAAAATGAACAACAGACTGTTGTGTTTGACAGCAGTAATCCACAATCGTCTATAGGAAAATTGACAGGAGACTTAACAAAAAGAGACTGCACCACAACCCTGAACAACATGCAACCTAAACACAGCAACAAATTTCACCTCAGAGTGGAATGTGACAATCGACTGAAACATAATTTTATTGGACAAAAGTTGGACATTTCAGTAAAAAGTAAGGTTTTAAAGTCAATTTAGTTACACTTCAGTTGTTTATTTTTGTAGAACTGCTTTGACCTTGTTCTCCATTAATTGCATTTTTCAAATAGTATATAAAATGGAGAAGAATTATATTTTTACTGACTGGTCAAAATGTACCTTCCCACCAGATGATCCTCTCAGACCGACTCTGACTCCGTCCACACTGAAGGTGGAGGAGGGAACCTCAGTGAGTTTGAAGTGCTCTGCTCCAGCTCCCTGTCTGTCTCATCCTCCAACTCTGACATGGACCCCCAGCCTGGGTCACAGTCAGGAGACACTGGAGGAGAATCAGGACAAAACTAAAGTCAAGACCTCTGTTGTGACCTTCACTGCTTCTCACCTCCATCACAGACAGGAAATCTCCTGTACTGCCGTCTACAACAAACAAGATGGCAGCACTGAGTCATCTGTTATCACAAGTTTAACAGCTGATATTTCATGTGAGTTCACTTGTTTGTTTGTTTTTAATTCATCATGAAACAATTTTAATTGAATTAGTCAAATCTTCTATAAAAGATTAGCAGAAAAGTAATTTTGATGACAATTTTTATATATAAAGCTTTTTGTAAAAAAGAGGTCAGCACAAAAAAACATGACAAATTACTTGATTTCCAAATATCAGATTACATTACACCTTTAAATAATGCAAATCATTTATTTTTCATTTTTTTGTGTGGAAGTGCAGCAAGAAAGCTGGCTGTTGTTTGATGTCAACTTTCTTTTACAATGATGCTTTACCAGGATGAATATGATTTAGGTTAATTCAATCTCCAGGGAACACAGATATTACGACTTATAACTGACAATGTAACACATACCAATGATATTTATTTTTCAGATTCACCCAAACACACCACAGTGTCAGTCAGTCCCTCTGGTCCAGTACCAGTAGACAGCACTGTGACTCTGACATGCAGTAGTACTGCCAACCCAGCAGTAAGGAACTACACCTGGTACAGAGCTGATGGAGGCCAGGAGACTTTTATTGGGACCGGACGTGTTTTAAACATTAAAGCTTCTGAAGTCAGTGGTCCTTTTTTCTGCAAGGCTGAAAATGATCTTGGAGCTGGACGATCCAACATCAGTCAAATAGATGTTCAGTGTGAGTATCAAATTTCAAAATTAAAATGCTCTATATACTCTTATAGGTCTAGTTTGTTTGCAGTGCACTGACTTACATATTATAATATTTTGTAACTAATTTGTTTATTTAGACATTTAAGGTCACTATATGTTATATCCAACTTTAAAACCCCCTGTGTTGTTATAAAAAAGAAAAAGATTTTGCATTCCACCGTACTAGTTTATTCTTTTCAACCGACAATATCACACACATGTTAATACAGGCTAGTAAGTTATTTAATGGTGGATTTCCTCATGAACTTGTTAATTACTAGTGACCATGTTCTATTATTTAGGTTACTTGCAAACAGTGTCTTTTTAATAAACCAAACCAATTAATCTACTTACATTTAGAAGCCATGCAACATTTCACCATTGGTTTTTTGATGGTGAAACCTGCTTTAATTTATACTGGTATTTATTACTTTGTCGGACATTTGAGATGGAATGACTAATAGTTTACTTACAATGTCTTCACTTCAAGACTTGATAATAGGCAATGTTATAAGGTGTATTATAATTTTCTGTATAATAGTTTTACCCTTTGCACAATGTTTCAAATGAAGGCTTTTTACCATAATAATGAACTGGTAGAGAAATGGAACCACTCTGATTACTCATTAATCAGTAATTATGTCAATAATGCATTAAGTGATTCTTTATCTGCCATAATAATTCAGTCACATTTCTGCTGAAATCTCATGAGACAGTTGCTGCTCACAGCCTCTTATACATTAGTTGTGACTGTATTTCACATTGTAAACTCAATTCTCTGAGCACACAGTCTGGATTTAAAAGCACAATAATCTGAGGAAGCACAGGGTGGGTGTTTGCCATTTATTTTGTGTGGCCTCTCAAGACTCAGCTGAGTAATCCAACAAGTGCATGGAACTGCAGAATTAGGCAAGAAAGCCGGCTGTTGTTGTTTGCTGTCAACTTTTCTTTATACTGATGGTTTACAAGGACAAATGATCAGTGTTAATTCAATCTACAGGGAACACTAATATTAAAACTTACAACTGTAATAATAACAATAATATTTATGTTTCATTCCTTTTTTCTCAGATTCACCCAAACACACCACAGTGTCAGTCAGTCCCTCTGGTCCAGTACCAGAAGACAGCACTCTGACTCTGACATGCAGTAGTACTGCCAACCCAGCAGTAAGGAACTACACCTGGTACAGAGCTGATGGAGGCCAGGAGACTTTTATTGGGACCGGATATGTTTTAAACATTAAAGCTTCTGAAGTCAGTGGTCCTTTTTTCTGCAAGGCTGAAAATGATCTTGGAGCTGAACGATCCAACATCAGTCAAATAGACGTTCAGTGTATGTATCAAATTTCAAACCCAAAATGCTCTATATACTCTGATAGGTCTAGCTGTATGCAGTACACTGATTTACATATTATAATGTTTTGCCATTGATCAATTTATTTATATATTTAAGGTCACTATGTTTAGTATTTTAAAATGTCCAACTTTAGCACAACTGAGTATTTAGTAAAAAACAATATTTTTGCATTCCACCTCACTAGTTCATCCTTTTCAGTCTTCAATATCACACACAAGTTAATACAAGCTAGTCAATCATATAATGGTGTCTCTCCTCTTTAACTTGTTAAGTACTAGTGAAGATAGGAAATACTAGTGACCATGTTGTATTATCCAGGTATTTGCACTCCAGGGTCATCAGTTACCAAAAAGGTGTCGGCACTGTAACTTTAGAAAAAAATCGTGACATAATCTCACTTCATTATTTCATGACAAATATAAAATCAAATTACACCCATAAAAAATACAAATAATGTTTCCATAATTGTAATAATTTTTTTTTCAGATTCACCCAAACACACCACAGTGTCAGTCAGTCCCTCTGGTCCAGTACCAGAAGACAGCACTGTGACTCTGACATGCAGTAGTACTGCCAACCCAGCAGTAAGGTACTACACCTGGTACAGAGCTGATGGAGGCCAGGAGACTTTTATTGGGACTGGACGTGTTTTAAACATTAAAGCTTCTGAAGTCAGTGGTCCTTTTTTCTGCAAGGCTGAAAATGATCTTGGAGCTGGACGATCCAACATCAGTCAAATAGATGTTCAGTGTATGTATCAAATTTTAAACTTAAAATGCTCTATATAGTCTGATAGGTCGAGCTGTATGTAGTACACTGATTTACATATTATAATATGTTTTCATTAATTGACTAATTTAGGTATTTACAGTGTGTTTAGGATTTATAAATGTCCAACTTTAGCACCACTGTGTTGTTATCAAAAAATAGATTTTTGCATTCCACCTTACTAGTTAATCCTTTTCAGTTTACAATATCACAAACATGTTTAGATAGATAGATAGATAGATAGATAGATAGATAGATAGACTTTATTAATCCCGAAAGGAAATCAGGTTGTCATAGCAGCCAGGTACATTTAAATACAATAAAATAAAACAATAGAATAAAATACTGAGGTAAAAAAGATAAAAAAGATAAATAGAAAGATTATGATATATAATATATTATATATTATAATATAATAATAATAGTAATATAATTGTCATTAATATAATGATAATAATAATAATAATAATAATAATAACAATAATATATTATATAAATATGATATTTAATATCAACATGGTATATATTAACACATATCACATATGATATGAAGTATATGTTCCACAGGTAGATTTAGTTCAGTTCTGTGATTGTGGATCCAACAGAGGCAGATGAGTTATACAGTCTTATAACAGTGGGGAGGAACGATTTTTGTGTATCGTTCCTTCTTGCAGCGGGGTTGAATGAATCTGTTGCTGAAGCTGCTCTTTAGCTTGTCCAGTGTTGTGTGGAGGGGGTGAAAGGTATTGTCCATGATATCCAGCAGTTTTGCCAGCATCCTCTCCTCCATCACCTCCTTTAGGGTGACAAGCTTCAAGCCAACAACAGACTCTGCCTTTTTAATGAGTTTGTTCAGTCTGTTGGCGTCCTTTGCCTTGATTCCCGTACCCCAGGACACCGCAGCAAAGAAGATAGTGCACGCCAAAACAGACTGATTAAACATCTGCAACATCCTGTTGCAGACAGTGAGGGACCTGAGCCTCCTCAGGAAGTAAAGCCGGCTCAGGCCCTTCTTGTAGATGGCCTCTGAATTTGTGGACCAGTCCAGTTTATTGTCCAGTGTGACACCCAAGTACTTATACCCCGACACCATATCCACATCAGTCCCACCGATGCTGACAGGAGAGGGCAGGGGCTTGTTCCTCCTAAAATCCACCACCATCTCCTTTGTCTTTGCCACATTCAGCTGCAGGTGGTTCTCCCCACAACACTTCACAAAGCCGTCGACCAGGTCCCTGTACAAGTAATACAAGCTAGTCAATCATTTAATGGTGTCTCTCCTCTTTAACTAGTTAAGTACTAGTGAAGATAGGAAATGCTAGTGACCTTGTTGTATTATTCAGGTATTTGCACTCCAGGGTCATCAGTTACAAAAAAGGTGTCGGCACTATAACTTTAACAGAAAATCGTGACATAATCTCACTTTATTATTTCATGACAAATATAAAATACACATAATGTTTCCATAATTGTAATCATTTCTTTTTCAGATTCCCCCAAACACACCACAGTGTCAGTCAGTCCCTCTGGTCCAGTTCCAGAAGACAGCACTGTGACTCTGACATGCAGTAGTACTGCCAACCCAGCAGTAAGGAACTACACCTGGTACAGAGCTGATGGAGGCCAGGAGACTTTTATTGGGACCGGATATGTTTTAAACATTAAAGCTTCTGAAGTCAGTGGTCCTTTTTTCTGCAAGGCTGAAAATGATCTTGGAGCTGGACGATCCAACATCAGTCAAATAGATGTTCAGTGTGAGTATCAAATTTCAAACTCAAAATGCTCTATATACTCTGATAGGTCTAGTTGTATGCAGTATTCTGATTTACATATAATAATATGTTTTCATTAATTTAGATATTTACAGTATGTTTAGGATTTTAAAATGTCCAACTTTAGCACCACTGTGTTGTCATCAAAAAAAGATTTTTGTGTAGCACATGTATACTCTAATACAACTCTATTAATGCTACTGGACCAGTTCTAGGTTCAACAGAGTGGGGTAACCATACAAAATGAAACCAGAGACCAGGTACTTTAAATACAAAAACCAGCAGTTTACTGAAATTTAACATAGACAATACATATAACAAATATCAGAACCAGTGAATAGTCCTGCAGGTAACAAAAAAGTAAAGTAGAACTCACTTTCCCTTTTTTCCTCACCTAAATTTTAAATAATTTGGTTTAGATAGTTTTTATGTTAGACCAGTCTATAAGTCTATATTTTATTTTATGTTAATATGTTGCACCTATTTTTGGTTTCTTTCTATCTCGTGTTAACTCTTTTTTTAAGTTAGAAAACAAAAGAATATTTACACCATTTTCAAAAATCTTAGTCAAGTTACACTGTTATGCTTTAAATCATAACTTTCACAATTATGAAGACAGAATAAAATATTAATTTCAGTTCAAGTTCAGTTCCACTCTTGTATTTCAGTTCAGCTCAGTTTAAAGAGAGAAAAGTGGAAAAAGAATAACCCCAACAGTCCTACCAACCTGTCCAACAGTTCACAAAAGAAATGAATTATTCTAACTACATAAACCAGGATAAAGTTTTATAGTTACTGTAAATTGCAACATTACTGCCACGTTGTTCACACTGCTGTACTTTTCTCCTGCCCTCATGCAATTAACCACACACCTTTGCTTTACATAAAATAAATTTCCACATTTTTCCACTAACACAATATACATTCATACCTCATTTCCTTAACAAACCAAACTAATTAATCAACTGATTAACAGTATGTTTATAGCTTTTTTCCAGTTACAACTGTTAGCTCTTCGCTAGCATTTATTATACTGCAACAAAGCTTCAACGAAAATAATTGAAACTCACCAAAAACGGTTGTGGTTTACTAATATAAAATCCTCATGAATCCCCGACCAGGCAGGTGTTACTTTTCAGCTTCTAAATCAACTTTTCATTAAAATATTTTCTCTCTTTAATTTCTCTCCTCTCTGCTCCACTCTCCTTGTTGCTATGGCAACAAACAGCAGGGAGTCTCTTAAAAGGGAAGTTCATGACAATTTCTTACAGCTATACTTTTAACTGTTTCCATTCAATTAAAGTTAAACAATTATTAATTGATTCTTAGATGAATGCATTTTAATCAATAAACTTATTTATGCATTTTAATCAATAAACTTATTTATGCATTTTAATCAATAAACTTATTTATGCATTTTAATCAATTACTTCTATTTTTCAGTCTCCAATATCACACACATGTTAATACAAGCTAGTCAGTCATATAATGGTGTCTCTCCTCTTTAACTAGTTAAGTACTAGTGAAGATAGGAAATACTAGATACCATGTTGTATTATTCAGGTATTTGCACTCCAGGGTTATCAGTTACAAAAAAGGTGTCGGCACTATAACTTTAGAAGAAAATCGTGACATAATCTCACTTTATTATTTCATGACTTTATGAATATAATATCAAATTACACCCATAAAAAATACAAATAATGTTTCCATAATTGTAATCATTTATGTTTCAGATTCACCCAAACATACCACAGTGTCGGTCAGTCCCTCTGGTCCAGTACCAGAAGACAGCACTGTGACTCTGACATGCAGTAGTACTGCCAACCCAGCAGTAAGGAACTACACCTGGTACAGAGCTGATGGAGGCCAGGAGACTTTTATTGGGACCGGACGTGTTTTAAACATTAAAGCTTCTGAAGTCAGTGGTCCTTTTTTCTGCAAGGCTGAAAATGATCTTGGAGCTGGACGATCCAACATCAGTCAAATAGACGTTCAGTGTGAGTACAACTGTTTTTCGTTACCTAAACCCAGGCAACATTTTATGAATCAATTTCTTACTGCAGAGTAAATGTGACATTGTGTCTATAAATTTATTTATAATCATGGGCCATGGTGTCTTACCTTGAGTGTTTTCACCATATTAAGGCCTTACCACAGCTCTTTGCATTATGATAGTCTTCAATTACAACTTTCAACAGTTCTTTTGATATCAGTATCTTGATATTAATTGTATTTATTTTTAAAATGACTGTTACAAGCGTGCCTCAGGCGTGTGACCACATAGGAAGTCAAAACACACATAAAGGTCGAAAGCCAAATTAATTTATAAGAAAATTCTATGACAGTCAGCAATTTTATGAGCTTCAAACATCTGCAGAAAGTCACGGTTTGTCATAGTTAATACAAGTACTATTAATTAGTTGGAAACTATTGGGATTTCTTGACATTTTATTTTATTAATTTATTTATTTAGCTTACAACTACCCATATGCATATTGTAAGGATATGATATGTAGAGAATTATTGTTGTTTCTTGTGACAGCTCTTCAGCAATTTTGTGGACCGTACAGTGGAATTCTTCTCTTGGCTGTTGCTGGTGTCTCTCTCAGTGTCAACGTCTTGTACACAATCTACGTGGTGTTCCTTTGGTATGTATGTTATTACAGTGGATTATATATTTTTATAAACGCTCTGCTGATGAATAGCACTTCTGTTTTTAGAAAATATTGAATATATACTTTTATTTTTCTTTCTCCTCAAAGGAAAGGAAGAAAGAGTGTGAAGCCAAAAGAAGAGGAGATGACTTACATGTCTTTGGATCGTAGAGACACATCTCCAGAGTATGATGTCATTGCCCAAACTCCAAAATGACTCCCTCTACTTCCACTGATGATGAGCTTGATGATTATCACATAACATTGCTTAATGATTTATTGTATATCTTATACTGAGGCAAAAGTTCATCCTTCATCACCTTGCTCTCTTCTGCAGTGCCTTAAACTTCCACTTAGTGATATCAGTGTTTATGTATCAATTATCTAACATTGAACAACTATACAATGTAATGTAAATAAATAGTTTTTCTATATGAATCTTCTAATGCTCGCTTTTGTAGAAATGTTTTAAACTTCAACAGAAAGGTTATTGATTATGCTATATGGTCATTTTTAGGTACTGAGGTTTTCATGTTTGTTGGTATACATATGTATGGTATACATACTGTTGTGTCTCGTCAAGTGTGTTAATTTTAGTCATGTTCATGTTTAGTGTTTCATGTTTAGTCCTTCCTGTTTTATTTTGTACTCACCTTTTCCCTCACATTTCAGACCCTGACTTCCTCCCTTTGTGTGATTTTCCCTTCTTTGTAATTTTCTGCCCCGCCCCTGATTGTTTTCACCTGTTTTCACTTACACCTGGTATAAATAGTCCTTGTCTCCCTTTGTCTTTGTCAGTTTGTCTTGTTCAGATTGTGAAAAGTATTGTCATGTGTTCCAGCCAGAGTTTTTTCATGTTTCGATTAAGGTTTGTTTGAAGTTTTTATCCTTGTTGTGAGCGCCTTTTGTTTTCTTCTTTTTTCAACAATAAATAAACAATAAATACCCCTTTTGTACATCTTCGTCAGTCCCTGAGTCGTGCGTTTGAGTCCACCAGAATTGTGTCTGAGGTCGTGACACATACATGTTTTTCTCATGAATAAGAGGACAGGATTTACAGGACACTGGATCGAAGAGATGAGTCTCAGAAACAGACGTTGTCAACATCCACTGAGTGCTTTGTTGATTGTTTGACAATGACACTGAAATATTTCTGAACAAAATATTAGACCATTGTTCATTTCCTGTTTGTTCCCTGTTCCAAACAGTAATTGTCTTTTAAAGCATGACCACAATTGTTACATAACTTCAACCATACATTTGTTTATTGTAATTTGTAATTTTAAACTGTTTTAGAAGGCTCAGACAAATGTTGTCTACCTGTCGATAGTAGACTTGTTGTAATACTATTTTGAACATCAACTAGAATTATCAGTGTGTCTGAACCCCTATTTGCTACAATAGGTGAGTACAATAACATGAGCACAACGTAATGTAAATAGCACTGTAGAGATAGTAGCTTTGAAGGGGTTATACTGATTAATTATTGGTGAAACTGGATCACAGAGGTATTCACTTAACTTTGTGCTCATTTGAGTGTGTGGTGGTTTTATTTTGCACTCTGTTATATTTTTGGTTGTAAATTTGTCTTTTACATACAATACATACATATAGAGACCATGTACGTTAACAACACGGCAAACGACTGCATCGGCTATCACTGAACTGAATGAACATTCAATATGACATTCAATAAAAAAAGGTTCATACATACTGAACTGAACTCGACTCAATTAGATGATAAAATGTCTGTGTGCATATGACTGTGTCTGCCTCTCTTATCTGACGTGTGACTGTTAAAGAACATTTCTGAAAAAACTTCATTGTTACATGAATCTGCACTTTTGTGACTTCCTCATTTTAAAGTTAATTCTTGCATTCTGTTGGAAACAGCAGCACAACTTTGAAGGAACTTCACTTCTCTATACATCTTTGATCTGTCTACCTGGAAGACCTGAAGACAATGTAAGTCATCATAACTTCTACATGACACATATTACATCAACATTTTTTTAAATGTACTATAAAATTCTAAAAATATAAACATGAGGTTACTTTACTCTCAACAATTACAGTGCAAAATGTCAAAGGTAGAAAAAAGAAGAGACACCAATTATGTGAAAGGTGGCAAAATCGTCCGATTGTGGTTTAAGAATGTTGAAACCAATTCTCTCAAATAAATTGTAACTTTGTAAATAAACTGAAAAAAACAGACATAGTATGTTTGTCATTTTTTTCCTTTCACAAAACAGCATAGCTTCCTGTTTTTCATTTTTATTATCTATTAATTTTCTACGTCTTTTTTAACCAAAGCAGCATGTTGTAGCACTGAACTGAATGTTACAAAGGGTGGGTATTGATTAGACCTTGATTGAAGTATTGATTAATTTAACTGTTCAATTATAGTTTTTAAAGGAATGCAGTTATACGTCCCCTTATTCCTCTACGAATGATAAATAGCTGTGCTGTGTCACCGTGACCTCATGAAATGAAGAAACAGATCCGGATTGCAAAACGTTTCTTTGTCTGCAACCTCCGCAAATATTAAATTAAATACTGGCTTCCAGGTGAACCCTACTGTAAAAATTAATGAGGGATGAAATGTACTAAAGATGTGAATTGTTCCATGTGTAATCTCCAGAGTTTCTGCCTCTCCTGAAACACAAAGATGGCTGCAGCTCTGACTCTCCTTCTCATTGGCTGAAATGCAGTGAGTTACAAAAGTGTTCTGCTGGATTCTTCTGAGAAAGTTAATTAGACGAGTGAAATTTTTTTTTTATCTAAATATATAGGAAAAAAATACTATGGGAACAAATCAGACTCCTTGTAGTCCTCATTTTATTTTATTTTATTATAATGTATCACTTTATGAACAAGGGTATAGTGCTTTTTTTTACTACAGATTTTACCAAGGAAACCAAATTTACTTCAGTAGTACTGCCAACCCAGCAGTAAGGAACTACACCTGGTACAGAGCTGATGGAGGCCAGGAGACTTTTATTGGGACCGGACCTGTTTTAAACATTAAAGCTTCTGAAGTCAGTGGTCCTTTTTTCTGCAAGGCTGAAAATGATCTTGGAGCTGGACGATCCAATATCAGTCAAATAGACGTTCAGTGTGAGTATCACATGATTACAACTGTTTATTTTACTGACTGAAACCCCACCTGTACTCAGAGGGCTGTTCGCTTGTTTATTCAAAGTTTATTAACATTGAATGTGTCCCATATCCAAATTGTGCCAAGTTTGACACTACACTTCCTTGGGTCCCCAGAGATACAGTCATTTTTGCTAACTTGATTAAACATGACTTTACTTGACTCTTAACTTGTCGGTCTTCTCTGTATTCATTACAGTTGCTCCACAGATCCTGTTCTCCTCTGTTTGCACCAAAACTGCAGACCAGCTCAACTGTTCCTGTGAGACTGTGGGAAACCCTTCTCCCATTTTAGAGTGGTATTTGGATGGGTTACCCATCAATCACTCTGACAAGTTTGCAATCAGCAATGAGCTTCTGAATGACACAGCCCTGAGGAGCTTCATCGCTGTGAATCAACCACAGGAGAGGTATCTTTCCTCTTTGCTCTGCCGCAGCTCCAACTCTCTGGGATCTGCCAGTCAACGTTTTTGTGTCTACAGCCTTGAGCCTCGAACATCTACAGAAAATCATGGTTTGTCTTTGTGCTAAATACAAGTCCTCTTGATTAGTTGGAAACTATGAGAATTTCTTGAAATTCTGATCAACTGGAACCCAATGCCATATTCTCTATATCAGCACAGTATATATATTTCCATTTAGTGTTTTGGTTTTTACATTTTTTATTCTGTTGTCAGCTCCCAACTGTTTCACATACTGTACATACTGTATATGTAAGGGACATGTTAGTTAGTCACACTCTTGATTTCTGCTTCTGGAATTCATATCGATAATGTCTGTAGTGCAAATATTATATATTAATCACTCAACCTATTTCTTAGATTTTTTTATTTTTACTTCTCTTCTATGACAGTTTTATATACTACCAATACACGATGTAACACCTTAAAACAGATTATAATTGAGTTATGTGTTTAATACACCCACAGGAAAAACCCAGGAAGCTCCATGTATGTCTTCTTCACCAAATAATCCGAATATATATGTCTAATTCTGACAAACCTCCTTAATTTTCTGTTCTGTCTCATACATAATTCTCAGGTCAAGTTACGTTGCCCGTCTTCATCGTCACAGTCGGTGCACTTACAGCAGCACTAATATGTGCTCTACTGTTTGCTTTCAGGTAGGTAACAACTTGAGAAGCCATGAAACCCTGCACAGTAAAGCTTTTGTTGTTAACTTAACTC